GCTCCATTCTCCAGCCCGCCACAATGCCTGCCCCTACTGCACATTCTGCACTCAGGAGGCAACAGCAGTACACTGGTACTGTGTATAGCTTTCCGTCACTCAAGCTGCTCCTGTTTCCGTGCAGGACTCCTCCACCTCTTTCTTCCATACAAAACAAAAAGCGTACAGAGACTCTGATTCCTTAGAGTTCCTTTTTCTGTCTGCAACAAAACCAAGTACCTCACATCTGCATCCTACTCTCTTTTCTTTTTCAGCTGGTGGCATTACCAGCTTGTTATTTCTCCTCAGAAGTGCCAACGAAACTATTAGTGTGACTCACGAATGCTGAAATCATCCCTTCTCTCACTATCCTTTCTTCTGCACAAGTTATTACCAATCTGATGGAATACAGCTGCTTCTACTGCCAAATCAGTTAAGAAAATATCCGTAGAAGCATAATGTCTGTGTTGCTTCTGTTACCTCACTTAATTACTCCAAGTTTAATAGAAAAAACACCATTGTTATAATACTGGAAGCAAAACATTCAAACACACACATGCAAAAAATAAAATAAAAAAAAAAAAAACAATCCAAACTTATGTTTAATCTTTCAATATCTTCTTCAGTAAATAGATTCTGTTAATAATCCAATTTTATAAGCAAATCTGAAGGTTTTTAAAGATAGGAAGCTGTGTGTCATTTGCAATACAAAAGCCCATTATTTTTAGCACAGAATTTCAAAGAGATTAAGTAATTCAGATATTTCTTGGGGGCAGTTTCCATTCAGATCCACCCATAGTCCACAAAACGTCAGGCAAAATAGAAATTCTAGCAAGAGGGCCATAACTGCTATAAATAAGCCACTAGAAAATGCTGTAAGTAAAGCAAAAAGAACTCAAATCACATGTCAAAAAAATTGTACAAACAGGAAGAGTGATTTAGGACCTGGGAAGACGCAAAGCTGATCAAATCTGTCTGTATCAGCATGGTAGTAAACTTCCAGTGAAACAGCTGCTATCAGACAAGTATCTAGGTTTTTATTAAGGTAATACAGTAAAATATTGAGATAAATCTAATGGAAAGATGTTTTCACATGCCACAGACACTGAAAGGCTCAAAATATATTTTGCTGAAACTCTTAGGCTCCAATATAGCAAAAATTCAGCTTCCCATTTCAGCTGGCACTGTGCATTTTCTCTTAGGAAATCACTTGAATTTAGCACCTCTATAGTAGCTAAATTTTTGTAAGGCAAAATGTGCTTTATTAATGTTAATGAATATTAATTATTTAATATTGTCAATGTCTGGAAGAGAAGTCTACTAATGTCCATCTATCACTCTGACTTTCATTCTCACAAAGACAGTGTTTATTTTATTAGAAGAAATTAACAAACTGAACAAAACCCAAAAGAGACCAGGAATGTGTGAGAAAGAAAAAGACTAAGTATAGAGGGCAGTGCCTCATGCTTCTTAGTGGAAATGCTTGCAAGAAACAAAGTTACAGATTGGGAGACAAATTTGAAAGTAATAAGAAATGTGAGGGTAATTAAGCCCAAATTTCTATAATTTAGGAAAAGCAAGCATTCATTTCTGGTTCTAGTTGCAATCGTCAATGCAGTAACAGCAGTAGTAGAAGATGTTGGAATCTCCTCTGACCGTGTTTTAAAATGGGCTTACAGCCTCAGGGGGAGAGGGGAAATAAAAAGGTAGTTTTGTTTTGTGAGGATGAGATGACATCATAGCATCTTGACACCTCTCCAACTTACTGTTTGATAGTAAAAGGAAAGCTTATCCTTGTCAGCTGACAGGCATAGGTGCTTAGTTGCACCTCCTTATTTTTTTCTGCTCTATGTTTTACAGAAATGGAGAAAGGCATGATATTTAAGCCTCTTGAATTTATTTTCCCCTGAATTCCAGTGCTGTCTTGGTGCTTACATTGATTGTTTCCAAATCAAAAGCCTCAGTGTTACTTTTGTTAAGTTTTTCTTTTCAGTTGGGATATCTGTTTTTAATTGTAGCCTTCCATAGACTATGCTTTTCAGACCACTGTGTGATGCATGTAACGATACATTATGGCATCTGTGGAGGGAAACTGTTGTAACTGAGGGCAAGAAATAATCCTGGTAAAGTTGAGTACGGTTGAGAGCAAAATCACAGCATTACTAGCACAGACTTTGTGGCTGGCATCTGTAAACTCTGAAAATCCCTGGCTCTTTCTTTTCCTATTTCATTCAATGCACTGAACTGCTTTCTGGTAGAACTAGCTTTCTGCCTGAGTCAGCACAGTGGGGACAGTGATGCCCCCGAGGTCTCGTACCCTGTGCCAGGCAGTGTGAGCACCTCCAGCACATCAGGAGCCTTGAACCAGGCAGAGCCCCTTGGGAAGGGTGTCCAGGTGTCAGTCTGCAGGGGCAAGAGAGCAGCTCTGCAGGAAGGGCCTGGGGAGCTTGGCAGACACCCCACTGAGCATGAGTCAGCTGTACAGACTTCCAGTGCTAAGCCCCACACATGGCACTGCATTAGCAATAAGGTAGTCAGCAGATCAAGGGAAGGCTTATTCTCCTCTCCTTTGCACCCCAGAGGCCACATCTGCAATGCTTCCATCTAAAAAACTGTTCCCAGTGTCTTCCTGCGGAGAAGAAATTTCTATTTTAAACCAGTTACTGAGGAGGCTGGACTAGAGGACTTGCAGGATCCCTTGCACCCTCTTTGGTTCTGTGCAGATATCCTGTCAGTGAAGTGTTCAGATATCTGGATGCATTTGTTTGAATCTTGTTAACTGCCTTTTATAACTCATCACCGTAATTTAATGATTTAATAAGGTAAAGGACAACAGGAGTTTTAGGTAAACTGTACTATTGCCAGCACCATGTTTCAAATGGTTAAAGGTTGGTTAGTTTTTATAATAAGTCTTGTTATTTTTTATAATAAGTCTTGTTATTTTTTAATTGTGACTGTGTGTGTTGGTTGCTTTAGTTGTTAGCTGAGGAGTTCCCTTCTGTGATCCTTCATCAGCCATGTGGATAACTGTGTGTCACTGGGATAAGGCACACTGATGCCTTTATGAATCTACTGAAGTGTGGATTCAGATAGAGCACGCACTATTTCTTGGCTCTGTTAAGTGCTCTGGACTGTCCTTTCTCTCCGTGTAAAGATTCTAGCATCTTAGCTTTGAGATTTGGATTTGATATCTCAGTTAGGCATTGTGAATGGCTTCTCTTTATGGCAGCAAATTAAGTCTGTCTCTGTGCTCCATGGTGTATCGCTGCATAGGGGATGACAGATTTTCCCTGTCTCATTGAAATGTTGACGAGATCATACCATAAGTCATCCTATTACAGTACTTTTGGGAGCCTTAGATAAAAGGAACAGTGTGCTTGAGAGGTGATTATTTCACTCTGTTTACTTGAAGACAGTAAAAGGATTTGTTTTGACCTTTTCTTTCTTTCTGAAGAGGTGAAATAGATTTACTGAAATGAAGGAGACACAGTATTGTGCCAGTGCCATCAGGTTGTAGTAGTTACCATGATAATTCAATCAAGGAAGGAAAACAAGGGAATCAGATGATATACATTTAAGTCTTCAGACCAAGAATGTTATTTCTACAAACAGAAAGTATAACACTTTATGACTCTTTTAACAGTCAAGCATATCAATTAATGTTTATGTAACTATTAGGATAATTTGTCTTGTTAATATTGTGTGTGATGGGTATTTTATATGACCTTCTTTGGCAAGTGTACAGAGTTCAGTGTTCATAGTCACATCAAACTCCCTACAAATGACAAATGTCAGGTTAATAACTTTTTCAGTAAGTCATGAATGAGTAAGTGCCTGTTAACCTCTATGTGTCAGTTTGAACGCTCATTTTGACATATGTCATAAATTAAGCAGTAGAGGACTTCACTGTACATCAGAGAATCCCAGGAAAACCCAGCAACTTCAGAGAGCAGTATTCTTGATCTAGTAGTTTGCTTTCTTCTGGGTTAATGCCAAGAAGAAAGCAATACAGCATAGAAGCATAACTATCTAATTTGTAGATGTAGAAGGTCGCAGAGATACTCTCCATAGTACATGCAAAACAAACATATGCACAATCATTCAGATAATTACAACTGTCTCTCACAACAGTATATGAGTAAAATCTAACTCTCATGGGCACTTAAATAATCTATGCAGCTTTCTGAAGTTTAGTTGCTGAAACTATTGCATGTCACATTTTCTTAAATTTAGGCCGATGTATTTCCATGCCACTACTTAATGATTTTTTTTTTTTTAGTTTGTATTGAAAACTCTCATTGTTAAAAGCATATCCCAGCAGCATCCAAATGTTGGGGCATTCACAGGGGTATGGACACGGTGCCTAAAACTGCAGAGAGTAAGGAAAGCATTGGCATTTACAGAATAAAGTTGCTATAAGCATGTATAAGATGCATAGAAATTAATAAATGCAAATGCACATTAGCATATCAAAGCTGTTTTGAGAAAGGGCCCTACATTCAAAAAGTATTTAAAGAAACTTCTAAGTATGTTCTTCAAATTCCTATGTCATAAGAGAAAATATTGCTTAGAACGATATGTAGAAAAGTATAGGGCTCCAAGAAATTACAGCTAGAGAGGGCAGTTCTTTGCAACCTAATATGTTCCTAGTAAATGAAACCAAAATCCAATAAAGAAAATAGTCATTTTGGTTTAAAAAAAAATATGTTTTTTTCAAAAAGATCTAGTGCATACTTCCTAAATACACTACCTTAAGTTGAGTAATTATGAACATAATATATATACTCAAGGAAAGTAAATGATCAGCACATATATGCTGATACAGAGAAAGTACTTATTGCATGTGTTGCTCCTGATACTGCCCATTATTACCCTTCTTTTTGTTGCCTTTCTTTTGATTTGTAAATTTAAGATTCAAAACTTGTTAAAAGGTGTAAAAATCACGGGAACACTGAGAAATATTGGGCAGTTTCAGAAAATTGTCATGTATTCCTTTACGGATATATTTCTTCTTGCTGCAGATCTAATGCATTTGAAGTGCTGGCACTCGATGGAGTTGGTACTGGGATACTTCAGTTTTATACAGCCCAGGAGAGTGCTGACTGGCTGAGAGCAATATCAACTAACATCAGTGATTTGACACTTCAAAATGTATGTTACTTTCTGCATATTTTCTTGTCTATTCTATTGTAAAATTATTTCTAATTTTCCAAGGGAAGAAAATAATTTACATTTGAGATACAATATATAAAATGCATATATAAGGGGAGGAAGAGGAGAAAGAAAAGAGCAGGCAGAAGTTTTCTGCTCAATCAAAAGTATCAAGAAGTTTCCAAGGCCTGAAATGTTATTACAGGACAGAGAGTACTAGAAAACCAGGTTGCATTTACTGTTTTAAAGACTTTTTAAGGCAAAATATTGATCCTTTCTTGTCATTTCACAGACCTTTAGATATGACCTAATATTTAATTTTTGAATTTTTCTATTGGATTTCAACATAAATCTTTGGTCAACAAAGATTATAACTTGAATTTATTTTTCTGGTCTTCAAAAGTTACTTGGAATCACATTTGAACACAATAGTTCATTTATTATGTTAATTCTTTCTGAATATTCAATTGCTCAAGCAATATCTTTGACAAAATTTAACATTTTTGCTTACAATGCATTCTTTATAAATATTCTCTATTCTCTGGTGATTCACATCGTTTACAGGGTATTACTACTTGATAATTTGAAGAAAGTGATGTAAATTATTTATGAAATTTCATAATTCCTTCTGTGTGAATAGCAAAAAGAAATGTGTTGTAATATTTTCAGAGCAATTCTAGTTCACAGTTATTAAGCCAAATTCTTTCACTTTTTAAAGAAATCAAATTAATAAAAGCCACTCCAAGGATACAGGTGAACAAGACAATAAAAAGTGGCTATAAATGCAAACAGGTTTTATTAGTTGTAGGGATCTAGTCTGCTTTTTTTTTTTTTTTTTTCCAAATCCACTGTGTGCAGTAGCATGTCCTGACATGGTACCTTCGCTGTGTTGTGACCTCTCTACAGCAATATTTTATTATATACTGAGTCCTGGGTTTTGGTGGGATACAGAATAACTCCTCTGTGAGAAGCAAGTAAACTTTTTGCTTGGACTTGATGCTTTATGGGTTTTGCCAGGTGTGCAGCCTGTGATACAACTGGAAAGGTCTGGCCAGAGCATTAGTTTAAATACGGTTCCTCAGAACAGAAGATATTATAGCCTGTGAGAATCCCTTTTGTTGCAAGCCATTGTTTAGGACGAGGAGTGTGAAGCTGGAGTGCAGCTGAGTAGAGCAGAAGGCGGCTGGAGGGCGTTCCCTGCCCCTGGGCCACCAGAGGACACCGGCTGTTTGACACCCACACTGCTGGGGACAAGGCCTTCCAATCGGCTTCTCAGAAATCCATTCCCATGCCTTTGGCTACCTTCATACTGCTCTTTCACAAAATGACTCTTTCCTTAGATGTTTCTGAAATTGCACTTAGGGAATGGATCTGTAATTCCTCAGAGCTTTTTCCTCTTTCTGCACTTTTGCACTTCTGTAGTGTGTCTCCTTCATTCTCCAGGAGTACCTGAATATAGTCATTACTGGTTCAGAGATTATTTCAGATAATACTTGTAGCTACTTATGGGTTAATTTATTGAGTCCTTGCTGCCTCCAAGTTCAATTGCTTCTCCAAATATTTAAACTATTCATTTCCTATTCTGTCCTATGCTGTCATCTCTGTAATTAATTGCTAGATGCACGGTCATAATGGATCTTCTTGCTGATATTTTTGACCTAAAGTGTCAGCATTCTTACTTGAATTATTACTAAGTATTTAAGCAATAATTTCCATTCTTCACTTTCTGCTTCCACACATTTTTAGGATTGTTTGTGCTGATACTTGTTCCTCGACTTGAGCAATGCTTCTTGCACCTTAGTAATTCTTACTTCATCTGTACATAATCATGCTAGTCTTACATACATCTTTTGTCATACAGGTGTGGATACCATTTTAAATAATTTTTTTTTTAGAATTTTAAAGAGCTCCTTTTAGAGATTCATTGTTTTCTTAACAGTGGACCCTATCTTTCATGTATCACTTTTCCTTAATATACTTGATTTTGTAATTTTGCCCTAATACAGTCTCTTTTAGCAGCTGGCATCTCTATGTCAGATCTCCTGCTGATGCCAGAAGACAATCCTAACATAGACAGTACAAAAATAACTCTGCCACAGTGTGACACTTCTGCTAATGTCAGACTGCTCTTTTGAAGTACTGAAACATAGAACTTCTATGCAAAGGCAAGCTCTCTGGGGATCAAGTGTAAAGGAGGAGTCGTCTTTCAATAGTGAAGATGAGAGAAGTCATTACTGCATAAGGATGCTACTCCTGGACGTTAAGATATCTAGAAAGTGTTACTTGGTAGATGAGAATTAATGATTGTGGTATTACCTGGAGGGAGTTAGTTCTTCTAAGACCAAGGAGCATGGGGAATACTGCAACACGGAGAAACATGTAAAGGTATCTTTTCAGCTCTCCTTACTGATATATGCCTTGTATGCTTAGCTCTGAAAATCTCCTAGTAACAGTCATGTTTACAAGCAGTACGGATTGCCTTTTTTTTTTTGTTTGTTTGTAAGGACCCTTGCCCCAAATTATTAATCGCTCTGTTCATATTCTTGTTTTTCACCATTTTTTTATCACTTTTCTACCAGCATAAAAGTTTCCTATTATCTTCCTTTGTGATTCAATCCCCCATCTTCTCAGTGCTCTTAAAGCTCTTCACATTTACCTTTGGCAGAAATACATAGAGATGAATCAACGCCTCACATTTATTTTGTCATAGACCTCTTCTCTTCACAGGAGGAAGTAGAGTTGAAACTGGAGGGAGAGAGAGAACAGAAACTGGTAGTGAAGCTGCCGTGATGAAACAAGCAGCACAGGCAACAAGTTGATCTGTATGTGCTCCTCACTGCTCCTGTTCTTTGTTCAGCTAGAGGCTTCTTTGTAGGCTGAAGAGGCAGTGCTATGCTGGAGATGTTTTTTCTAGGAGAGAGTTCTTTGAAATAATTTATATTTCTCTCTGTTTTACACCATCCCGATAGCGAGCTATTAAGTGAGTGTAGCTTTTCACATGGATCTTAATTATTTTCTTTGAAACTTAACACTGACCATTAATCTTTAGAAGCACCTAAAGGTGATGCTGCCAGTACATTTACATTACAGAGACTCGTTTCTTATACTTAAAACATTCTCAAGGTTTATTTGTTTTGGTTTTTTTCTTTCCCCAGTATATCCTAGTGGTGTTATTTTTTTAAAAAATAAAAAACAGTATTAGTGAATGAGTAGTTCATAAGCCATTAAAAAATGAGTTAAGATGCATTTGTTCCAATATAAATATTATTTACCATTTTTAGAAATCATAAATCATTCCATCTGTTTCATTGTAGGATGGTAGAAATTTAAAATTTGGATTCAACCCAGGTTGTTTAATCCAGATCATATTAATGCCTTTGATAGCTTTTTTAACTGTGTATGTCATAGTGTGTAAACCTTTTATTTTACACCTTTATGTAAATACATATGTAAGTCATACTCCATATTGCAATGGAGTGAAATTTCTGTTTGAATAGGGAGAAACTTATGAAATACAAGCTTTGAACATGCATATATATATATATAAAAAGGGAATTGAGGTCTTATTTTGTTTACACAGCAGAATGTGGGGTACATGTAGATGGAAACAAAATCCTTGTGTGCAGGAAGCAGTATATAAATTAGACTGCCTCAATGATTATACAAACAGTTTTCCATTTCCAGGGTGAAAACACATAATATTTCTTTGCTGCTGCTTTTTTGTTATTTTTAAAATAAAAAATTTCTGCTTGAAAGTACCCCAATGGAAAGTCAGTAGGGGTAGGAATCACATCACCTAAATTTAGCCAAGTAAGACATAAGTCACATAGGATCCTCTTATAGCCAGGGGAGAAAAAAAGAAAAAAAAAAAGATGCCTCTTGACATCCTTCTCTCTCTCTGCTCTCTAGGAAGAGAATACAGATATATTAGATGTATAACTCTTTCCTTTTTGGCTTGCCAAACTTAAGTGAAATGAATCCCAGCCTGGTAGGTATTTTGAGTTAGGTATATGGTTGTGAACCATTTCATCCCCATTCTGTTCCTGCCCTGTATGTATTCATTTAGAACAAGACAGCAATCACAATTGCTTAATAGTTCCTTTTCCAGGTTGCCTGCAGTCTTTGCAGATCCTTTTGGGTTTAGTTCCCCTGCTGTCTCCAGCTCCCATTACTGTACTGCAGCGCCGAACGCCCGTGTGTGGTCAGCAAGGTGTACCCTGTCCCGTTCCTACTCCTGGCTCTCTGCACCAGCTGAGGGGATGTGCAGAGCACGTACTTCTCTCTCCTCAGCCCTGTGAGGTAGGGATGTAATGTGATACAGAAGCACATCTTTCTTCTCCCCAGTTACATCAGGGCTTCAGCCATCCCTGCTTTGAATAGGGAATGAGCTGTGGAGTCCAAAGCATTCTTCCCTATTGCCCTTACCAGTGGGAAGCTGGACTGCTTATGAGGATGCTCTTCACAATACTCTACCTTCATTCTGCAGAAAACCTGTGTGGCCAGTTTCACAAACATTTTTCCAGACACATCCAAACACAATAAAATAAAAAGTAGTATAACAACTTTTTTTTTTTTTTCCACAAGCATATAGGGAGCTTAAGTAGTTTCACTGAACCAAAAGGGAAGGTGAAAGAAGACAGAATCTCTACTAGCCCTGGTTATTTGCACTGGTTTATGTTATAATAATCTTGTTACCGAGCATGTCTTCGGCCACCTGCAAGGAAATAGTATTTCCTGTGTGTGTAACATGGCTTCTGTATAGTTACTATGTGTAGGTATTTATGTCCGAAGCATTGGAGAAGGGTTGGAGCTGAATACGGGCAGAGTGGGACAGCATTCCTGTTGATGTTAAAGTATTCCAGATGCCTTTTCATTATTTTCTGTACAACTGCTCAGGTCTAAGCTAATTATGAATCAGACAGGTGAGGTCTGCTTCCTTCTGCAGCACTGGGCATGTCAACAGTTTGTTTTGTTCCAAGTTACAGAGTAGGGTTCTTGAGTTCCTTCTGCTTTGTTACTGTTGGGGCCTGGAGAGCACCCAGAAAGCTCTGTCACCTGTTCCCCTACCAAAGTGCTCTGGGCCACCTCTGGCATGGTGCCGCTTGGGGTCAGGCTGCTGTGGGCAGAGCTGCACGCGAGAGCTGTGAGGAACCTTGCAGGGGGCCCTTCCTCTGCTTGGCAGCTGCACTTCAGCTCCATCCTCATCATCTGTCCTCATCTGTGCTATGGTGCAGTGCCAGTGCCTGCAGGTTGTGACTTGCCTCTGTTGTGGTGGTCCCCATTCCTCCCCTGGAGTGGCAGAGAGGTGGTAGGCAGCATCACAGGGACCCTCCAAAAGGCTGACAGGCTCTCCCAGCACTCTACACAAGGTGACAGCCAGGCCTGGCGGGTACCCCAGGCTCCCAGCAGATTTGGCCACCTCATCCCCAGAGCCTCGGTCACTCCCAGCTGTCTGATCCACCAGCACACTGGCATCATTTGACCACACAGTTCAGTTCAAATACATACACTGCAAAAGTGAGTGCATGGGGGAGAAGGAGCTCTGATGGCCCAGAATGGGTCAGGACTGTCTAGTGAGCTCCTACAGCCCTGAGCCTTGGTATCACCCTGTGTCTGTACAGACAGGATTCCTGCCGTCATCCTGCAGTCTACTACATTGCAATTTGTCCTAGGGTTGTTTAGTTTATGGTCGTGGATAATTCCCTCTATGCAGAATAATGACTAGTTATTCCCATCTATTAGCTACAAGAGTGTGTGTGTATATACATTTTCTATACTTCGTACACTTTTAGCTTTTATGCATGTATATAACATCACATCCCACAGCTGTACTTTGCTAAAACCAAACAGAAAATATGTTGTGGCTAAACAAGCTCCAGGTAGTCCAAGACAAGTTCAAACAAGCCCTGACACATCCTGAGGCCTGTGTCATTAACCTGACACAAAGCTTGGTGGTCTCCCAGGTGTGCTCTGTCTGGATGGGATGGAGGTAACTTTCTTTATGGCAGACGTATGGCGTTATGTTTTATGTATGGCTAAAACAGTCTTGATAACCCACCGGTGTTTTGACCATTACTGAAGAGTGCTTGCAGAGCATCAAGGCTTTGACTTCTTACTCTGACACACCCTGCCCCCCAGGGAGGAATGGGCAAGGAATCAGGAAGGGACACAACTGGGACAGCTGACCCAAACTGGCGAAAGAGATATTCCATGCCGTATAGCATTGTGCTCAGCAATAGAAGTGACTTGTGGGACAAAGAAGGTGGGAGATGTCTTCTAAGGTGGCTCTTGCTTGGTGACTGGTTGGATCAATCTGCTTGTGGGAGGTACCAAATGATGGCTTTCTATCACTTGGGTTCTCTCCTGTTATTAAGCTTTCTCTGTCTTGACCAGAAAGCTTTCTTGCTTTTGCTCTTGCTGTTCTCCCATCCTTCCTGCTGGGAGGGGGAAGGGAGTGAGTGCTTGTGTGGATACTCAGCTGCTGGCCATAGTCAACCCACAACAGGCAATGGCATCACCATATTTACTGAGCCACAGGGCTGCAGACGTGCTCTGCTTCCAAAGATTAGCCACAGATCTGATCTTAGACATCTGGTGTGGCCAGGATGCAAGCAATACCCGTGGATTTCTTCTGCTCCTTTTGTATGGCAATTGTAGTTTTCTCTGTGCATAGCTATAACGCTTCGGTCTTCCATCACAAGCCTGTCATTTGTTATGCACCAGGCTTTTTGACAACAAGATCCTTTGGAAGTACTCACCAACCGAAGACCGTTTACAGCTTATATGACTGCATACAGGGGAGTCTGTCTTTCCAGTGTAATCTTCTGTCTAGGTTCCATATTGCTACTACACTTACTAATATTGCACTTTAAAGAAGTTTTTCACTTTGAAGAAGGAAATATCTGACGGTTTGTCCACCACTCATCTATGCAAACTATGACTGCCAACAGAAACCCAAAGTCAACAAAACTTCATTAATTGAACAGAGATGAAGAAGAGAGATATGTAACTTACTCATGAAGAGTAAACTAAAAGAAAAGCCTAAACATTATTCTCTTCTTCTTTAAACAATATTAAACAGTCTTTAAAAAATATTCTTTTCATCTTATGCTCTGTGTCCTTCATTTCATAAGTACTTAATCACATGCCTCATTTATAGATCTGCTTAAGCAGTTGTTAACAGAGCCCAAAGTGAGTTGTCTATAGTACAGTATGCATTTTTCACTCAGAGTGGCAAAGTTAAATTCATAAATTCAAATCATTATGAAAGATTTAATGAAAACTATGATAAAAGTCTTGCCATCTTTTCAGTCCTTGGTTTTGTAAATTTACTGTAATAGTAAAAATCTAGTATTTAAGTACTGAATTATTCTACTTCTTATAAACATAATTTGGAAGTATTAATACAGTATTTAATAGTCAATAGTCAATGCTAATTGCATCACAGAAACTCTTCAGCATATTAAAAACTGTATTCTTCCATCTCTCTTTCACAGATGAAAATGGCAAATAAATGCTGTTCTCCCTCAGATCAGGTAAGACTTTTATTATGTTAACCAATTTTTAGTATCCTTGTCATTAAGTTGAAAAATTTGTAAAATTTATTTACGCATGTTTAGGAAATTTTAAAATTCTAAACCCAAGTTTTCTATGGTTTGAAGTTCTGAAATGACCTACCTAATACAGCAGATTCCTACTAATCCAGAGTAATTAGTAGAATCCTCCATTGTAGACCTTAAAAACTGGATTAAATGGATCAATTAACTAAATACAAGGACTGTGAAACTCCAAACCAGGTCTTGGAAAACATAATATATGTTTGTATGCGATATTGCAGCAGTGAATCTGACAAGTTAACTCCATATTTGCATCACATATGGTGCCAAGATAGCCAAGTGGTGTATTACAAATCCAATCTGTTTTGCATCTGTCATGCTGTGCAGACTATGTTTGCCATGATTGTTTGTCTGGGACTTTTGGAGCTCACAAGCCTGATGAGGTATTTCTTCTGCTCTATCTAGCCAAACGTCCTGAAGACCAAAATGAATTAAATGCTTTGGGAAGTATTTTTACTTCTTCTAGCATTGCAAAGAATTTTTTTCATTCACTTTGTAAAATATAATTGTAGCATTTTCCAGACTAGTTCTGTAATTCTGGGAAGTACTTTGAAGTTTGTATTATAAAACTAATATGTTTCACTTGTGTGTGCTTTCATTGCGTCAGTCTGGCATTGAATCATTACTCACGAACAAAGAGCCTGATCCCTGATGTTTCCAAAAATGCTGGGTTCATAGATTATAAAACTGAAAATCAGAAAAAATGTCTTTTATACTGTTTTACTAAAGAAATTTATTATGGAACTTTATAGCAGAAGTCAAAGGCTGAGTCAAAAATTCTTCATACAAGGATCAAATAAATATTTCTTAGTTTGACAGCTAATAGTTTTTCATCTGTCACCATTTCTTCGTCTTATTTGTAAAAAGTGCTTGATTTTTTATAGGCTATTCTTCAAGTTATTTAAAATATTTTACCATTGACAATTTCTTATACAGGAAACTGTTTTCTTATATTTGAGTCATGAAAAACATGATTATGAATGCTAAGGGAAAAGGTATTGAATTTGGCTGGGGTTTTTTTTGTTGGCTGAACTCTACTAGAAGTACAAGTACAAGTAGCTATATAAATTTCACATCAGTTTGGGCATAGTGGGTTTAAACAGGAAGACATCATTCCTCAATTTTTAACAAATGTTGGAGACGTTATTTAACTTATCATTAACTACCTAATTTGAGTTCCTAAATAATAGTTCTCCATAAACTGCCTGGATAGTCAGTGCAGAAAATATTCTGTTCTGAAAAGTTGTTCAAATGTGAAACTTGATATCAGTGCTTTAACTCATGGCTCTTAACAGAAAAAAAAAAAATAAATAAAAGATCTCTTGGAGAATTAGAGACTAGCCAATTTGACTTCAATCTCTAGAAAGAAATTTGAAATAAATAAACAAAATCATTGTATGCAGCTGCAAGATAACAAATGGATGACCACCCTGAAGGAGTCTCAAGAATAAATAGTGACAACTGATCTCATCTCCAAAAAGTGAGAAAAAATAAAGTTGTATTTAGTTTGGGCAGGTCAAATAAAGGAAACTAGCAAACATGAATGTTTTAAAGGAGCAAATGTGAAAAAAGTCAGACTTCAATATGTCCTCTGAAAGTCTGGTTTAAAAGCAAGCAAAATGTGAATCTCGCATGTCTATGTCTATATATATCTGTCTCACAAAGCAATAAAATAAAACTTGGAAATGATAACTGAAAATAGAAGAGGACTTGATCTGCTCTAGATTAATGGAGCTTATTAATGTCAGTAACATAATGTTTGTACAAACCTGAATAGCTCTTGTTAATTTAGTTGATTTAAAATTTAGTGAATGGATAAGCTTAAGAGATTGAAAGTCACATGAAGAGCTGCCTTGAAGTAAAACTGGTGATAGCTGCAAATTTATCTTTGCTTTTGAATATGGGCACTCCTGAAGAATTGAACAAGTCCTTAGAGTTTCATTATTGTGTTGCCTGAGGTGAGCTTTCTTCATTGCCTTTAGAGTCCAGCTTAATCTGGCTACCTCAGTCTGGCTATTTCCACACTTTAAACTCTCTTCTCCCACCAAGGCAGGGTGTCTGCATTTAAACTCCCTCTTTCAAATTATTCCCACCAATCCTTAAATCCTCAACTGTCCTTGGGAATTGTTTGGAGAGTTCTAGTTATCCCAGGGCATGTCATGCTAGTTAGTCCATGTAAAAGACTGCAAGGTTTTAACAAATACTCAGGGATTACACAAATTTGAGAAGCATTAAATAGCACAAATTCTGAAGCTCTGGCTCTAGGTTTACATGAAACCTGTGTAGAAAATGAACCACACAGCATCTATGCACTCAATACTTATAGAGTATACTTATATTCCACAAAAAAAAAAAAAGGGAAATTGAGACAGTTTATACATTATTTTGAGTTTAGTGGATATTTACAGCCACCATTCTCCAAATATAACTTTTGATTCTAGTTTTTATAATGTATTACAGTACTCTGGATACTTGAAAGCACTGGATTCTATGTTATCATTAGACAATTAGATTTAGGACTCGATTTTTAAAAATACACACACTGCTGGATTGTTCTATATTTTTTATGAAACAATAAATTAGGCAGTTCTCTCTCTGTGCAGAAAAACTACCCACAAGGTTTTTTATTTTCTTTACTTGTTGGTTTTTTTATGATTTTAAGATATTTCCTGTCCTCCACTAAAAAAGTTTCTTCTTAGTAGAAACAGGAAAATACTTATCAGTTATTAATTAAGACTGTGTATTTTTTCTAGTGATGCTGTAAAACATATTTTCACTACTTCCTTGGATCTCTTCCTGTGTTTATTTTTATTTTATTGCAGTGACCTTTTAATTAACCTCCAGAGGAAATCAGAGAAAATGAAATCTAAGAGACAAGGATTATAAAGTCACTGCATGTGATAGCACCAGGAAGGCCAGGATGCAGATTAAGATGCAACCACCAAGGGATAGATGGGTAACAGAAAATTACCCTCTATATGCATTAATAGCAAGAAGACAAAGGGAAATGTTTGTCTTCTACTCAGCGTATCACAGGTCAGCCTTCAGTAAAAGGTCAGCTGCAAAAGGTGGTTATTGCAAATAATACTAGCAAAACCCAATAAAATCTCAGATTACATCATGAAGAGAAGTTTTGATGATATGTGTGCTTTTAATGCCTAGTGATATTTGAAGAACTGGTCAAAGTAATTTCTGAACTATTATCAAGATATTTCAAGGTATTTGTGTCTGCCAGATGACATATCAAAAGATTAGGAAAGGGCAAATATTATGGGTGTTAACAGAAAAAAAAAAGATAAATTGGAGAATTAGAGACTAGTCAATTTTACTTCAATCTCCAGAAAGAAATTTGAAATAAATAAATATAATATTTGTATGCAGCTGCAAGATAACAAATGGATGACCACCCTTAAGGAGTCTCAAAAATAAATAGTGACAACTGATCTAATCTCATCCTGTCATAGTACAACACATCTTGTGTGTGTGTGACAAGTGATTGCTGCAGCGTATCTTGATTTCAGTAAGGTTTATGGCATTTCTTGATGTCACAGTATTTTAAACGAGTATTATGTGGATTTGGTTGTACAGATTTTGTTGGATAATCCAATAATAGGTATAAATGGTTCACTTTCAAAACTGACATATTGACTAGAAGTCCTGAAAAGGTCTGTCCTGTATTAAGTTCCCTTGAATACTTGCTTTATGATGCGTTAGCAAAAGTAAAGTGAGTCTGAAAAATAATATGAAAGCCAATTAGGGTGCAGCACATAGGCAAGAATAATCAAGTATGTCTGAGAAGCTGTGGGAAACAACTGGAGAAGTTGTTACTGGAAAAGTATCTGGGGATGTAAATTCTATTAGGAAGGTTTAGTCCATCCTCCATTGCCTTCCTAGCACTTAAGGAGGCAATCCCAGATGCCCTCATCTGAAGAAGCCAGTGTCATGGTTTGAGCCCACCCAGCCAGCAACAAAGCAAACACACAGCTGCTCACTCACTTTTACCCACCTCTGGTGGGATGGGGAGGAGAAAATACAACAGAAGGTTCCAGAGTGAAGATGAAGGACAGGGAGAGCTCACTCACCAGTTATGGTCACAGGCAAAAAACAGAACTGACTTAGGGAAAAAAAAAAATTCAATTTAAATAAAACCACCTCTAATTCAATAATTGAAGAAAAGCAGAACAGTGAGAAATACAACCAGACCTTACATACCCCTTCCCCCCACACCTCCCTTTTTCCCTGGCCCAGCTCTGCTCCCTCCTCCCTGCCAGCAGCACAAGGGGGCAGGGCATGGGGGTTGCAGTCAGTCCCAGTCCATTCTATGTCATTCCTGCCACTTCCTCCTCAAGGGAGAACTTCTCACAGTCCTCCCCTGCTGCAGTGTGGTGTCCTTCCCATGGGAGACAGACTTCTGCCATCTTGGGTCCCTTCCACAGGTTTAATCCTCCTAGCAATAAACCACTCCAGCACGGACCTTCCTCAGAGTCATAGTCTTCTTTGGGAGCAGTCCCCTGCTCCAGCATGGGGTCCTCCATGGTCTGCAGGCAGGATTCCTCTCCTCTGTTGATCGCTAAGGCTGCAAGGGCTCAGCCTGCCGTCCCACCACAGGCCGAAGGGGAATGGCTGCTCCAGTGTGCCTTCCCCACTGCTTCCTCACTGGCCTGGTTGTCCACGTGTTTTGTCTCCTCAGGTTCCACTCTTCTCCAGCACAAAAGATCTCCTAAAACAAAGGAACTCAACTGACAGGTTTTCCTCTCTTAAATATGTTATTAAAGAGGCATTGACTGGCTCAGCCTTTGCCAGAAGCAGGTCTAACTTGGAGCTGAAGAAGCTTCATGAAGCTTCTTACAGGAGCCTCTCCACTAGCTCCCTCTCCCGCTACCAAAACCCTCAAGGCACAGACCAAACAAAGCCAGTCAGAGGTAATAAGAAAAACATCAGGTTAATTGTTATGGTTTGTTATTACAGTTTATTACTACATCAACCTGTGGTCATCAGGTACAGGGCTGATCAACAGAGATCCCCAAAATACTCATTCATATAATTTATCTTATATTGCTTTTTTCTCCCATTTTTTCCCCCAAATAAGCAACCCACCACAAACTGATTTCACTGGATTACTACTGTGAGATCAGTCCTTCATGATTGTTCTCCAATTAAAATTATGTTAACACACATTTAAGCACAATTTTTGTTTTATTGATTGGAGGATAAAATGTAGAAGGAAACTGAGACTGAATTTTTAGACTAAGTTTTCTTTGACGGCTCTTTTGCAACAACTCTAGCAAAGAGGTATAGTTTGAAAGGATTTATTTTTTTATTTTCCCAAACTGCAGAATAAACAATTTGAGTCCTTCTATAGTCAGGAGGAGAATAGCTTGTTAGGTGTATTTTATTGTTGTTGTAATATTGCTATAAAATTCAAGTATACATGTAAGACAAAATAATAATTGTGAAGGACCTGAATTTTCCACTTCTATTCAGTACAGACTAGTTACAGCAACTTACCTGTCTTCAAGAGTGAGTTCAAGTTTGAATTCTAACTTGAACAAAAAGTCTATAATGAAAAAAGGAGAGTGGTATCAGCCCAAATTTTCCAAGGCTCCTTGTTAAAGCAAGCAACCAAAGAGAAGAAACACTTACCTCTACCCAAAAGGACTTTTAATCCAAATTTTGCACAGGCAGCCAGTTCCTGGCAAGGTACACAAATTCTGATACATACCATCCTCATAGTTCCCTTCAGGCTAGGATAGACATCTTGCTATTTGTGCTTGTGTATTCAAACCATGCCCAGCTTTTACTTACAAATTTCACACAAAATACTTGTGTGCCATAATCTCTGACTTCCTCTGTAGTTTCATCTCTAAAACTTTATGTTTTGAACAGTAGCCATTTGGACATAACTGAATGCAGTTGATGTGCAATGGAAATCATTAATGTATTGCATCAAAACTTCTAGAATTCCAAATTTCTTTTTGATTTTTAATTTAATCATTATGGATGTGAAAGAGCTGCTTTTTCCCCTCTCGCCCCTGCAATAACTGTACTTCTCAAAACATGTAGTCGGACACTTGCTTTGGAAAGGAAAAAAGAAAAATTCTTAAGCTACCTCAAGACGTACTTGTCTTTGCTTTCCTAGTTTTGTGTTGTTCTGTTGTGCTTCATGGTATGACACTGGCACTTTACTTGGAGGCCAAGCTATTGTTTTATAGATTCTTAATTCCCTTTCAGTACATAAGTGTACCCTTCTGTTCTGACATGTCATCCATCAGGGATCCACTTGATTTTCTTTCTTCGTTTTCTTCTGGAGTGTTTTGTTTCATTTACCTTTCATAACTATTTAACTGGAAGTACTGTATACCAATGCTTTATTCATGCAGTCATTGCAGCAACTAGATGCTTTACTACTGTAGGAAAACAGTAAGTGCAAATAAGGACTTTCATTTATCTGCTATGATTGGATTATAGTTTGTTAGAGACTTGTTTTATCTCCTCATAGTAAGTGCCATGGCTCATTTTGTTCCTACAGGAACTTCTGGAAAGTGTATTAGAAGATGTTAAAAACTTAATAATACATTGATGATATATGGGTAATTTTCCAGATATATGAGTAATTTTCCATGCAGTTTCAAATAGCAGTCTCAAATTCACTATGCAGTATGGGAATAAAGTGGTTGAAAGAGATTTCACCATACAGAACAGCTTAACATTGTTTGTTGCTATTAAAGATTATAAAAATCTGTTTGTCGTGTGGAGAAAACCAAATTTGTCATTTGTTCAAACCAAATGTCTTGATTCTACTCTGCCACAGGCAGACTGGTCACAGTATGGTGTGACTGCAATGAAAATAGTAGTAATACAATTCCATTTCAGTAAAACACTTAGAACACATTAAAAAAAAAAAACATTTGCAGCTAATTAGGAAATGCAGTCTTATATTTGTAGCTAAATACATACTCAAGAGAATTATCCAGAAGATTAAGTGCTCCATTAAATTGAGGCTGTAACATTTGGCACTCCTATCACATCCTGCAGCCATAGATAAGAATACAACAGTGATAGGGCCTTCACACAAATTCCATAAAATAAGTAAAGGAAATTCTTCCCATTTCACAGATGGAAAACTTTGACATAAAGCACATTTTCATTAAAAAGAAAAAAATTCCTATTACTTCAGTAGGAGAATTCAGTGCCCTTTTCCTCAATTTAGAATTTCATTAAAAGCAAGTATGGTTGTCTTTTGCATTACTGTTGGTACTTAGGACCAGTGCTTACAGGCCAACCTGTTTTCTGTCAACTTGATAAAGTTTTTCCTGTCAATCACAGGAAATCATGTGTATTTTGAAATGAAAACATAATCTTGACAAGTGGAATTCCAGTCTTCTGATACCATCCTGCCCTGAGTTTCATCTGAAAACTTCATATTTGCCTTCTTTTACTATGTTAAATGAACACCTTTGGTTTTCAACAAGATAGTTACATTTTTCAGAATTTGTCATGTTTGCTTTAATATATAATGTTTGATGAATGACCTGGGCAAGCTTTAGTATCTGTGACTTAGTTTTACTATTTGACATTATAGAGAATTCCAAAACTGTTCAGTGGGTTCTGCTGTGAGAATAAATGGTGATAAAGATGATGAACAAAGAACATAATAGAGAGCCATATCCTTTGCTTATCGATTTAATCAGTAAAACACTTTTTTAGTAAAGATTTTAATATTCTTACTGGTTAATAAGTGGTGTCCATCTGCAAGTCAGAAAACTTGACTTTATGAATATAAAGGAGAATATTGTATTGTTTGTGCCCTGTGATTTGGACATTTATTTTTTTTGTCTATATTACTTGATATTATATTACCACACTTATAAACTGAATAATAATATAGTTTGTAGCAGATTATCAACAATACTGTAGTATATTTTGTTAAAGTAATAAAGTAATAAAATCTGACCCTCCTGTTCCTAAAACTTTGCTGACTACTATAGAAAAATTGTTTTTCTGAGAGTTATTAAATGTACAGAATAACAAATTGAGAACTGGAAGGGCTACTATATTTTTTGTGCTGTTTCTTGGATCTCCTTAAAATGTTAATGCTGGAGCTTGATAGAAGAGTATAGGGAAGGATTGTCTGGCTCAACATATTGATTTATTATTTATTTCTGAATAAATTGAATGGTAAAAGACAATTGATACTTTGAATAACAAAAGTAGGAAATAATGTGTGAGATTTTCATGGTGCCAGAGGATGAGCATGTCATACTGTCAGCTGCTCCCTGTCCATTCTTTCCACGTTTGTGCTCTGTTGGCAATAACGACAGGTATGCACACTCTGCTTTCAATAGAAAAGCATTCCTGAGATCATCACATTTTTCTCAGTTTTTTCCCTAGAACAAATGCTGAAGTTTTCATGCAATGCCTTCTTCAGGCTGTTTCCACTAACTTCCAGCAGAGCCCTGTAAGCTCAGTATATTCAGAAGTGCTATGACACTTCTGCATCTGTGCAACTCAGTCTCTTATGTAAGCGTAGACTTAATTGAAAATGAGCAAGCTTCTCAGATCATTCTAGATGGTGGGGGATCACTCTAGATTTGAGTACCTGTTTCAAGAGCAGTATGTTCCTCTTAATGTATGCAAAATGAAGCCTGAAATATTTTTGTTATTCTGGTGGGTAACTAGATGCATGACATTCTGCTACCACACTATGGCATTATTCCTTTATAAACTTGCATTTACCTCAAAAAGGAAGCATGCAGTTTTACTTCTTAACTTTATTTTTCCTTAAAATTAATTTATCTGAAATATAAAGACATTTTCTAACACTGTTAGAGCAAAGTTGTGTAACAACTGAATTTGACATCTAATTCTATGAGAACATTAATCATCATGAGACAAAATATATATAAAAAGTGTATAAACTCTGAGGGACAATCAGTGTGACAGAGACACTTTGTTAACCATAGCAAACATGAGAATACAGAAAACTATTTGATTTCAGATAAATATAGTGATTTGTTCAGATGTATTTCTTTAGAGGTAAATGCAACAGAAATTTCAGTATGTCCAAGTTTTGACTGTGCTACAGATATTGTAGGGTCATGGTTTTTACAAACTGCTATCTGAACTCTTTCAGTACGCCTAGATTCTCTGATGACTCAAGTGAGAGTCTGCTGAGATAGATACAGGTGACTTTCAAATGCTGAAATCTTGATGTTGACTTTAAAAAAGATTCAGATGCCCTGGACTGTGGGTTGAAGTCTCTTCAAGGACTTCTGACACACTGGCATGGTACCATATGCTTGAAGAGTGTGGGAGTGGTGGGAAGGCAAATGTGAAGAAGTGGGTGGTGGATCCTATTCTAATATGGCCACTCTTCCTTGTGCAACGATTTGACCTGTTCAGATATATCTCATCATCCACTGAAAAACAAGGAATTTAATTTTCAATTATTTTCTTTTACAGGTCATACATATGGGATGGGTAAATGAGAGACTTGAAGGAACTGATTCATCTCAGCTCTACAAATTCAAATTTCTGGCCCTGAAGGGTTCATCCTTTTACATTTTCAGCACTCCACCGGTAAAAAAAATATGCTATTTTTGTGACAGTTTCATTGTAAATTGAAACCTGTTTGTTATGTCTGGGTTTGTATTCCTTATAAAGAGCAGTTTTCATCTGAGATTTCAAAAGAAGTTAAAACCATAGATGTCACTGGATTTCAGTAAGCTTTAGATATTTAACTTCTTTCAAGGTCCTCTGAATATCTTACCATACCTGGATAGTTCAAAGAATTCTAACAGGGAGTAAGTGTTTTACTTTTTGAAGGTGTCGAGTTGATTTTTCTTCTTTGGTTGGTTAGGCCTGATATTTCATACCTTATTTATTCTAAGGTATTTTGTAGGTGTAATGAGTCAGTAGTTACTCTTGTTTTCTTGAAGACAAGATACATCATGAAATATACCATCCATACTGTTAGTAGATACTTGTGGATTTGGCACACAGGCAAGGGTCTGAACTGTTGCAGAGAATATAATGCTAAATGTACAGTTTGAAAAAAAGCCATCATCTTACTTTGATAATTTACATAGCTAGTAACAAGAATTCTATTTCACAGCACATGACTTGCCTAAGACTTCTCTAAAAAAAACATTAATAAAAATAATTTAAAAGCATGAAACAGAAATGAGCTGTAGAATTCTAAATTCTTAAAAATTGACTCATACTTCCTATATGGTATTGTTTTATCTTTTCTTTTTTCTCCTTTGCTTTAAACACATCAAAAAGAGGAAAATGTGGAATTAGAATGCAATTTCAATTTTACATCTTCCTTATTGTTTTGCTCAAAAGATGGTCAATCTACCAGTTTCTGCTGACCCAAAGAAAAGCTAATCATTCACATGTTTGCCATCTGTCGTACCTTTGGGAAGTGCATCCTCTTTGAACTTTATTTGTGAACCTCAGTAGGAAGCAATCAGTAACATTTTCTCTCTAGATAGATAGAAATTCTAAATCAAATTTCACAGAATTTCATAGAATCACCATGGTTGGAAAGGACCTCCAGGATCATCAAGTCCAATCTTTCTTCCAACATTTCCCTAAGCACTAGGCCATATCCTCAAGTGCCACATCCACTCATTTTTTTAACACCTCCAGGGATGATGACTCCACCACTTCCCTGGGCAGCCCCTTCAAGCCTAACCACTCTCTCAGTGAAGAAATTCTTCCTAATATCTGACTGAAATCTTCCCTGGAGCAACTTGAGGCCATTTCCCCTTTCTTATCATCAGTAATTTGAGAGAGGATACCAACACCAGCCTCACTACAACCTCGTTTTAGGTAGCTGTAGAGAGCAATAAGGTCTCCTCTCATTCTTCTCTTCTCCAGACTAAGCAACCCCAGTTCCCTCAGCCAGTCCCCATAAGCCATTTTCCCCAGCCCTCTCTGCCCTTCGCTGGACCCACTCCAGCACCTCAGTGTCCTATTCAATGTCAATGATTCCTATTAACTTCAGGCATCTTTAAATGGCCAATAGTATTCTTTTTTAAATGATGCAACAAATCCAGGAAAGTGGGATTTTTTCCCCCTCTAAAAAAATATTTGTCTATATGTTAAGTCACGGAACTAAACTTTGATTCAACTACTGCAATCAAATTAAAATGCAAAAAGAATAAAAAAATATTAAACAAATAAACAACACACCACAGGAATGCTTTTCCTTTATAAATTTTAATTGTTGTTTTCAGACCTGGTTTTGAAGAAACATTTTTGATATAATTAAAACTATCCATCTACATGATACTAATTGGGGATAAACTGCTTCATTTATCATGCTCAGCACTCTACTAAGAACAGACAAGTGAGGATGAGTCCTTGGTACTATCTGTACCATGTTACTTGTCTGCGTCCACTACACTCTATCGTGTTTCTTTTTTATTTTTTTTGTAGAATCAGTGGCTTTTAAAAAATCATACGAACAAAGAGGACCTCTTTGGTCAATGTGTTATGGGATCTCGGTACTCAAATCCACCAGTAAGTGTGACAGCGCCTTCAAATCATAAAATCTGTTGACCAGTTTTGTTGCTATTTAATCTTTCCACAGATACATTATACTGGGGAAAAACAAAACAAAACAAAACATAAAAAAAAAAGAAAAAAAAATCTACAAAATTGGCAATTTCCAGCAACCATCCACCTGGAAAATTCAAACCTGGATCTAAAGCCACACTTCAAAGCTGATTATCAGTGTCCTGAGGATGCCTCCAGCCCTGACTGTCCTTGACCCCTTCCCTGGGGCTTCCCAAACCCTTGCCACAACCCAGGACCCCAATGCAGTCCCTGCATGGCTGCCAACCCCTGCCCCAGCAGCACAGCAGGACTGGTCTCCCTGGTCTCCACCTCCCCACAGACTTTTCTGCCCAGCAAGTCCCAGTGAGCCAAGTCCACCCACAGACCCACATCCAGACCCATCCTTAGCCTCTCCCTGTCCTCAGAGAAGTACCTGGTGCCCGTAGCTGGGCCTTCCCCCAGTCCCCATGGCTGTCCTGCTCCTGACATGTACTGAGCCTGGCTGAGATGGAGGGTGGAGGTAACTTTCTTCGTGGCAGCTCAAATGGCAGTGGGTTTCTCCTTTGTGACTAAACCAGTGCTAACAGACCAATGTTTGGGCTGATTCTGAGCAGTGCCTGCACAGCCTTTTTCTTTTTCTCACATTGCTCACCCAGTGGGTAAGCTGGGGTTGAGCAAGACATTGGGAAGGGACATGGCTGGGACAGCGGACCCAAATATAGGCCAGAAGGGATACTATGCACCATAAAACATCATCTTCAGCAATAAAAAAATGGGGATTTGATCTTCAAAACTACCCATTGCTTGGAGACTGGCTGGGCATCAGTCTGCTTAGAGCAGGCAGGGTGTGATCACCTTTGCATCCCTTGTTTTTTTCCTCTTTCCATCCTTTTTTTAAGTTGACCCACAAGTTTTTCTTGATTTTACTCTTCTTATTCTCTCCCCCCGCCCACAGTAGGGGGATGGAGTTAGCGAGTGACTGTGTGGGTGCTTCGATGTTGGACAAGGTCAACCCACTACTAAGTGATGGGATGGGCCCTGGCTGGTGAGGACCCTGCCCTGCCAGACCCCAGGGGAGCTCCCAGGGAGCCACCAACCCACTCTGTGCCCTGACACTGGTTCTGTGTCACATGTCCCAGCTCTGTAGCTGGAAACACAGGTCCCCACACAAAGCTGTATAGAGAGCTGTTTCACTTATTTTAGAGACATTTAACGGTACTGCTCTTACCATTACTCCTACTGACTTTTTTTGCTATATGAAGTGATACATTAAAAAATGGATTGTTTATCACAAAAATACAGATGTTTTAATTTGATCTTTTAGAAGATATGAATTTAACATTTTTTATATAAGAGGTCTTCCTGAGATGTTCTTGCAACTTGTATACTGAATCAGTGCAGTGTATCACTGTGTGTGCACAGAGTGGATGACCTACAAGTCATACAGGTATCTTTAGTTGTAACTTTTTCAGTTTGTTATTTGCTACTTGTATGTGACAAAATGAATTTAAATTTATTGTCTTCTCTCTATTTTAAATCATAATTCTGAAAAGGCAAATCAATGATTAACACAGACATGTAAGGTAAATGGATTTGGAATATTATCCTGAACTGATGTTGAGATCGCTTGGTCTATCCCAAGTAAAATTAGATTTAACTAGTTTGTTTATTTTTGGAGATCCAGTATAATGCCTGTTCTTAAAACATGAGGAACTTCCAGAAACTCACACTGAAGTAAAAATTACTTATGCAGCACAATTTGTTGGTCATAAATTTGTGTCTTAGACAAACAATAATTAAAGTGGAAGCTAGGTGAATGCTAAATGACACTTTCGTGTATTTTGACACTATTTTTGACAGTTTGTCAGAACTAAATACGTATGAATGGAAGTATGTCTCATTAAGTGACCCATTCTGAATATACCTTTTTTGAAACACCTTGTCAGATGCTTTACTAAAAAGTAATTATCTTGTCATGCTAAAATAATCCCAAGAAATATGCAATGTATAGAATACCTACAGGAACAATTCCAAGGGGAAAGAATGAGACAAACTTTCTTGTTGCATAAAGAATATATTTCAGTATTTCATTTATCTTAGTTACCTATCATTACCCAGTTATTACATGTGTGATGATGGATAGGCCTGCAATAAACTGTAACATCCTTTAAAGTAAATGAAGGATATTGTACTTTTTGTGAACTTTTTTTTACAGCTTTTCTCATTGACTAGAAGTATATGACCATTTGTGACTTTTTTTTAAAGCAATGCAGTCTATAACAATAACAGTTTAAACTTAGACATACTATGATAGTTCTGGGAAACCTATAAATAATGTCAGCTGTCTCTTTGGATTTTAGTATCCCTTTGTAGTATGTTTGTTTACCCTCCTTAAAATACCTCTTAACATGTTATTTGTGTTCTTCTGATGACCTTGCACACTGTGATATTCAGACTGTTTCTGTCTTGGCTTTAAGTATGGTAGCCCTTCTCTGACATATACAATAAAAGAAAATCTTGGCTCTTGTAGGTGCCAATAGTTATCATCATCACTAGCTATCTCTGCTGAAAAAGTCATAAGAGGTTACAGAGAGTCAAGGGATAAAAGAGAAGCACAGGATAATGGGGAGAAGCCTGAAGTATTCAGAGTGAATTTAATGGCGCAGCAGTGTCAACCATTGTCCATGGTAGCATCATTAATAGCAGCAAAGCACCCCAGCAGTTTAAATTAATCTTAAAGAATCAAAGCAAATAGTAGGAGCAAATGAAAGTTTACTCATGTCTCAACAGCTTTTAGGTTGTAGCCTATGTCACTAAATTCAGTTTCATAAACAGCAGAGTGTCAGTGCTTATGCTTTTTTATCTGGTCTAGCCACTAATGGGGATGAAGGATTCTCCTGCTTTTAACTGGGATTAAAAAGAAGTCATTCTTTTTGAGGAATTCAACACCAGATGATGAACTAGCCACCCTTCTAGGCTGTAAACCTGATTCTGCAAGAAGTTCCCTTTTAAAGACCAACTGTAATGGGCCACAACCTGTACTATGTAATAATTTTCAAAACAGCCATCAAAACAAAAAAATATTTCCCTCTAAATAAGATTAACCAAAGACCTGCAGTACTTGCTCTATGTGAGCATGTTTAAATGTATAATATTTCTTAATGAATGAGCTTTATAACTCAGTTTCAGTTGTTTCTAAACTTGTGCTATTGCTCACTTGTAGCAATAACCAAAAAGTAAAACTCAAATAAAATATCAAATGGACCTTACAAGAAGAAAGATAACAGATCTAAAAATTATAAATGTATGACTCTAAAAATTGCTACATTTTATGAAATGATGGGAGGACAAGTATAATATCTAAAATTACTCTAAATTGCTTTTCTAAAGCAACTAATTTAGATTTAGATTTGACAAAGTTCCTTAAAGTAGTGCTAAATACTTTTAAAGTTAGCTTTATGTACTGTTTTGAGCTTTCATTTATGATGAGAAATAGCTCATAATAAAACAGAAAAAGAAAGTATAAAACATGCTTTTACCTATTCTACTGCATGGATTGTGTTCAAGTGATGTTTGTTATTTGATTGTTAAAATATAAAAACTGTCAAATGGAGAGCCCTAAAATATTAGTCTCTTGATATCTTGAAAAGACTTGAAAAGTAATAAAACTTGCTCTTCTCGAGTTCTTCGGTCACATTTCATCTAATCAAAGTAAAATATCTAATCTAAAGTTAGAGAAACTGGGGAAAAGCACTGCCTTTTTTTTTTTCTTTCTTTCCCAGTATGTTGAAACTAAGATAGGATTATGAAGAATTAGATTAGTTTGTTAAGATTAGATGCTTCTGATGTGTAAATTGCGGAATGCTTTCCACATTACAAAGAGTTGGGGTAAATGCTGAAACACTGCTTTGAAACACATAGCTGTGAGGTCTACTTGATGATAATTTCAAGTGGAGTGGCTGTATGAGTATATAATATTAAAAAGAAACTGACACCAAGTTCACATTACTCCACCAAGAGCACACTGAAATAACATTTAATAACCAGTAGAAGTCACATCAGTCTGCTCCTAAGTGTTGTAGTGGTTTGAATTTTAACCATTTTGTTTAATGCTTTAGAATTTATTAAGACATGGAAATTCAATTTAAAGAAAAATAAAAATCATGTTGATATTAAAGCAAAAGATCAGGAACAAAGTTGATTATTATTGATAAGCTATATGCTATTCTGCATACAGAGAAAAAGAATCTGATATTAGATTTCAACATTTTTTCCTAGTTAAATTTCATCCACAGAAACCAGATGTTCCATGGCCAGATTTTGCCTTACCTAAATAATATAATTTAATCTTTCTGCTTTCTTTCTTTTGGGAGATGAGGCAGAAATAGGACAAAGCTACATCTGCCCTGTTATTTTGAAGTATCCAAGTTGCTATTGGAGTCACCGAAACACTTATTTCCGTGTTCTATATTATTATCTATTATCTATGCAGTTCATTATCTTGAAATGCATAGGCTATGTAGTGTTTTTAAAAGGAAACAAATTATCATATATCTAACTAGAATTTAGGGAAAAACTTGAAGTATCATTCCAACTGTCAATTTTTAACAGCTGGTCATCTTAGCAGGATTAGGTAACAAAATCAAAAGAAACCAAAAAATACATATTTTCCTATTCATTATTAAGCTCACAGTTGATACTTGTTTTATTTCAAATATTGCAGTTACGTAGTCCTTTTCAGTTTTTGTTATAAATATTAAGATATTGGTGTTGTCATGTATGTCAACAAGCCTGAATTTGGGAAAACATCTTACTCTGGTGATCGTAAGATTTATTTTAAATTGAGACATGAAACTGGATGACTCTGGGTTTGAGACTCTGGGTTCTTCTCTATGTTAGCATATTGGACAATAAATATGCTTATGTACATCATCACAGAGATTACAAAGACTTTTCCTTCATGCTGTATTTTGATACTTGTTTTATTTCAAATATTGCAGTTACGTAGTCCTTTTCAGTTTTTGTTGTAAATATTAAGATATTGGTGTTATCATGTATGTCAACAAGCCTGAATTTGGGAAAACATCTTACTCTGGTGATCGTAAGATTTATTTTAAATTGAGACAAAGAGTTTTCCTTCCTGCTGTATTAATAATGGGGAAAAACATCCATAAAATTATTTAATAATTTTTAGTTACAGTAACACTCATATAGATTCTGTTTCTATAAAAGTGGAATGCTATTTGACTTTTTGTCTTTTCTAAATAGTGGATATTAAATGGAGTAAACGTGCCTATATTTAGAACATCCAGTAGAATAGTGATGGGTGAAATACTTTTTTTTTTTCTGTACATGACTTTCGAATGAAGAATGTCCTGTTAATATTTTCTTTTTATATTATAGGTAAGCACACTAGACTGGGTACGAGCTGAAAAAATCTACAACCTCTGTGAGGTTCTATTTAAAATTCACAAGGTAGGTTTCCTAAACATTACAATGATATTTTTGAGTAAAGAAAGTTTGCCTTTTCCTGTTAATGATAAGATCAAGCTAAGCTTAACTAAGAGAAGCTAACATTCAAATAGTTCATCTGTTTGGGTTTATTTTTTGTGGTTGGTTGGTTTGTTTGTTTGTTTGTTTGTTTTTAAAAAAAAAAAACTAACTATATGTGGCTAGTGCATTAGCTATGCAAGTATAGGAGAATTTGAAAAATGGATTATGCTCCAAGGGAACAAGTTCCTAAAATGCTTCCATACTGAAGAAGATTTTCAGTATTAGAGCTGGTTGAATGAAATATAGGTTAGACACATGGATAAATAAGCATAGTGAAAGTGGATATTGGTTTTTCTTGATCAGATTTTTAAGTGAATGTGATGCAGAATGCTTTTGCTGTAACTCCTGATCTATTTAAAGATACTTTTATTTAATTTCAGTAATTAAAAATATAAAACTGCCCTTTTATATCGTGGGTAATTTGCAATATTATAGAAGTTTTGCTCTTACAAGGGGCAACATGGTGCATTTGTGTACTATAAAGTTCTTCATTTTTTTCCACCACCTAGGGACAGTGTCATGTTTTCTGTTTAGCTTGTCCCACACAAGGATTTGAGCAAAATCTTATCAGTCTCTTTAAATAATTGACTTACAGAAGATTTTTTTCTAATAAATTGCATCAGGTAGTTTAGTTTTCTACCAGCTAATCGAAAACTGCTTTGCATGTGAGGTAAGGCTAGATGAGAGCCTACTTGCCTAGGAGACTAAAAACAAATGTATTATCAGGATAAAAAAAAAAATCAGTCTTTTCAGATAAAATTCTATTTCACTGAAAAATTACAAATCAGCATTCCTTCTCACCAGTTGCTGTCCTATTCCCTGCTGTTTGTCCTCTGACCATGTGCTAGGAGTGGAGAGAGAAGGTTGTTCCTTTGTCACCTGTACAGATCTCAATTTGACATTGCACTGAAGGAGAACTGCTTAAGTTTTTTTTGTGTTTGGGTGGGTTATTTTTCTGATGCAACACAGTTATTCAGGACAATTAACAGAAGGAAACATGAAAAAAAAAATTAAAAAATAATCACAGACCTGAGGATCACACTTCAAACCCCTGTACTGCCCTAGAGAGGAGTTCTGTGTAGTGCTAAGTGACCAAAGTCTTCAAAGAATGATGTCACAGTTTCCATGCCCTGACTGCTCAAACTACTTGTCCCAAGTTGGTTTCCAACATAGGCATGGGCAAGGAGGTTCTGTCCCAGGTTGTTTATTTTGTCTTCTTTATCTTTTTTTTTAGTTTACTTTTTCCAGATAGATCAGACACCAATGAAATATATACTCACTACACCATTGAAAAGATTTTGTTGTGGTTTGGCTTCTGTGTATTTTTCTCCTTTAAATGTTACTACTGTCTTGAAACTCAGTCCTTCCTTGAATGTTCTGGTAATTTCAAGGATATTCTATCCTTAAAGCAAATTCTGTGATACTTTTCATTAAGAAAAATAAGTGGGAAATAAACCACCCAAGATTCAACTCCTTAATGTTCTTGACATTTTGATATATGAATGCTTAATTGCCAGTCTTTATGAATGCGTTAGCTGAAGTGCAAAAGCTCAAGTTCAACTTTTTACCCTCTTTTCTGTTGATTCATTGGTATAAATGACAATGAGGCAAACAGCAAATCTAAAAAGTGAAAGATCGTAAGAGTTTTACACAGCAGACTGGAAAATGCAATTTAAGTTGTAAAACCCACTGTTTGGGGCGGGTGTTCTTATGGATTACTGGAACTGTTCCTGAAAAACTATTTTTCCAGGGATAAGAATATGATATGAGCTTTTAAAATCCACCTGTCATGAAAATATTTTATTCTGTTTTATTGCCTGGTATTTTCACGAATCACATTTTCACATACAAAATCAAAACATTAATATAGAAGTCTACAAGTCAGGATGAGCAGCACTGAGTCTTGAGGCACATGTAGATGTAATACCTGTGACTCCATAGCTGCTTGAACACCAGCCTATATGCAGTATTTTAGGTCAGCTTCCTTTTCAACGGTCCAAAAGAGCATTGTAGGATAACTTTGAAGTTTTGAAAAACTGTTCTCTCCTCAGGTAGCTGCAGGGCCAATTTTGTCAACAAAATACTGTGTACCCTGGTGGCATTATTTGCAGTTTCTGAGGTGCCTCACAAAATATCCGTAGCTTAATAGATTAGACATGAGTAAATTGCATAAGGTTATATTTGCCAGCTTTATCTTACTCAGTAATTCACCAGCATAAGCAAAATTTTCAGTTCCCATGTATTTTGATCCTTTCTGTGAATATGAGAGCGGTACACAGAGGAGGGTGTGCTTGCAGAGCGTTTGTTTCCTCTGCTTCTCATTCCTCAAAACTGGGTCTTCACTGCTGCCCCATGAGGGTGGTTGTGTGTGCATTAAGGACAGGAGGTGCACAAGACCCTGAGCATGTGTTTATTTTGCACATATCAGAATATTTCACGTTCCATTTGGATGCTTTGATTCCAGTAGTTTGTTTTCATGTACATGGAGTTTCAACTACAGCCTCAACAGGCTATGATGGACTATCAGAGGTTCTAGAAAACTAAATTCTGAATCCTTTTGAGTCTCATGCTGACTACAAGATTCTAGGACTTGGGTACCACTACAAAGCTGCATTCTAGCCTCTTAAAAGCCAGCTAAGTCCAGTCAAACATGGCTGCTTTTACCTCAGATTTGTTTGGCTAGAGTCAAGTCTCCTAAATCTAACCTGGAGTGCTAGAGAAAGAAAATTCAGTTTGCAGGTGACTTTAGAAAATAAGAAATAGCATTCTCTTTGCAATTTTTTTCTGTTCTCTCAATCTTTTCTGCCCCTTGCTATCATAGAGAAAAGCAGATAGGAAAGGATACTATATGACAAACAGAATTTTTTAAAAAATGCATAATTTGGAAATTCAGTCACTGAAAGTACTCGGATGTATAAGCAGTAGCTTTTTTATTTCATTTTCTTTTCCTCTATATTTACGCTAATCAATAATGTCGTGAAAGAATAGAGACATTTCTTGCAAGAATTTTTTTTCATTTACAAAACATTCTGTTACAGTGATTTTTTTTTTTTTATTCTAAAAGGCTGTGAGGTTTCTCTTCTTCATCTTGAAGGTGACAGCCGGATCTCACTTCACTCCTCTTGCAGTTGCAGAGCACCATTGGCAGCTTTTAGGGGACATATGAAAGTCCACGTTGTCGTTGTCCAGAATTAGCCCTTAAGTGCTTAATAATATATTTCATATATTGGAAACCAGTTAGAATGGAGTAGTTATATTTTCTTACAAAGCTGGTACACAGCTTTTGAATTGTGTTCAGATAATTCAAGCATTTCTTTTCTTTTTACTGTAAACAATATATTACTACAAACTCCTTTTAAATTATGTAAGTATTGCTTAGATAACTTGGACAGTATTTTGGAACTGCAGAAGTAGCTCAGATTGCGTGATACAGGGTAAAGTGAATAAGAAGCAAGGAGAGAATTTGTCTTTAAAATTATTACTTAATTTTCAGAACATAATGACATAATGTATCCAAGTACCCTTCACTTACAGAAGACAATGTTGCTTTAACTGTTTTTGCTAGATGAAGAATCACATACTGAAACATGTCTTTCAGCTCTGGCTTGCTGATGATTGCTGGCTACAAGCAAACTTGTATTTAGGTATTCATCAGGACTTTGATCTTGAAGACCAGAGGCCGTATTGTTTCAGTGTTATGGTTGGACATGGCAAGAGTCATTATTTCAATGTAGAGCTGGGCAACGAGTTGGCAGTGTGGGAGAAATCATTTCAAAGAGCGATTTTCTTGGAAGTTCAAAGAACAGGGGTAAGTAGTGAATACTATAAATCCTGGAGCCATTTCATCAGTGAAATAAGTATAACAATTTTTTAAATAATATGTGTGTTTAATAATTCCGTCGTATCTATGTGCTCCATGACTAGGGATCTGAGTATGTATTAATACGTTGAAGGCTTCAGAAATCTTCATCACATCAATATTTGTATGTCAATGACTATGTAATAACAGTCTGTGGGTGTATTATGGCAGTTTGAAAACTGGAGGTAGCAATGTGTAAGTTGACATTGATTGTAACAAAATGGAAATTAATACATTTTACCATGGGAAGACAATTTCTATGGAGATTATTTAGTCCACTTTGAACATTTTCTTCCAGAAAGCTTATTTTCCACTCACATAAGGTAAATATGCTGTATTTTACGTAATGGTTCCATTTTCAAAGAAGAAATATTTTATTCTTACATTGTTAATTGTAAATTGGGATTGTCCTTGTTAACATTGGAAGGCTTTAAGATCAATATTCCTGGTATAAGTGTCAAATTAGTGAATAGAGTCCAAAGAATGATTGTGCTTATCCTAAAGCAGATATTTTATTCTAAAAGTTATTTTGTGTTATGCAGACAGAGAAGATAAACTGATTTTAAGTTTATCTTAAAATACCTCTTTTAGGTAGGTAACTTAAAAGTACCTCTGTTCTGTTCTATAGGCAAGTTCTTTGCTCAGCATCTAGGTCCACACTCCCAAGTGATCTGGACCAGTGGTGTGGGAACTTATGGATTAAAAGTATAGGCCTTCTCCAATTAAACACACATTTACACATTTTAGCACAAATGCAAGCTTGATCTGGTACATTCAGTTTTGCAGGGACCTCCTAAAGCTGTTTGTGAGAGCAGTGGATCACATTGCATTAGCACAGCTTGCAAGGAGCAGGAGGCTTAGCACAGGTGTTGAGTCAGCTCTTCTACATTTCCAGATCTCTGGAAATCTAACAAGCTTTGAAAGCACTTGCTTAGAAGCCTTCCAATTGTCTCTTCAGACTGATGGAGTAACCGTAAAGATTTTGTAATGGTGATGCTCTTGCTCCTACATGTCTAAGGATTGTAGTTCTTCAGAAAAAAAAAATTATTTTTCTTGAAAAATTGCTGGGCATCAGGGTGGGATTAATAATGCAGATTGAGTATGCATAAAGTATTTTCTCACATGAACTCTTCAAGAAATTATGATATAACTTTTAGACCAACCATTCAATTGTCCTATCCATATAAAAAAAAAAGATAATATATAATTAAATTTAAGTATAACAAGGGTAAAAGTTAGCAGATTCTGTATCTGGTTCAATTTTTGAAGTATTTATTACTGAATCTCATAAATTGTTCTGTTACATCCTAATAATCTTAAATTTAAGGAACATTTCTTTGCTTCTGGAAGGATCTGTTGTCATTTGAATCCAGGAGTCCTCTAGACCCATATCATACAAAATTCATTAATATTTCTATTAGATGTAGTTTAACCTGTCTGAAACCTCCAGGAGAGGCATTCAGTTAAAATCCTGATTCCAGTGCTTAAGTCTCCACATCTGTGTCCCCATATCTTATATTCTGACACCCAGTTGCATACACTCAAGTTTGTTGTAAACCATTATGTCAGTAGGATGCAAAGTGCTGTGGTCACTCTCCATCAGTAAAAAAAATCTTTTGACACCACTATTTTCTTTCTTTCTTTCTTTTAAACAAAAATGCTGCTTTGAATGCCCTTGTTTTCAGAAAGGTATCCAGAGCAGCATGAATGAGGTGCAATTTAACATTACATAGATAATTTCAAGCCATAGAAAAGAACTGGCATTTCAGTATCCAGAAAAATTAAGGTTGTCACCTGGTAGGTTAGATTGTTCATAAAAATTCTTTCTCTTGGAGAAGGACCACAATTGCAGCTGGAAATTCATTTTTATTCATAAATGATTGGGCAAGACTCATTGAAATTGTTGGATTGCACTGTGACATTTCAGCTATTCTTATTTAAATGTGGCTTGCTTCTGTTTACTGTTGAGGGTCATTAGGTTCTTGTCTTTGACAGGGTTGTTGTAACCTTATCCTCTAAGTTCTTTGTGTTTGATGTTTCTATAAGGAGAGTTGTATATCTGAGACGATTCTGTGCTTACACAGTTTATGAAAAGAAATATTAAGGTACAATAGTATGTTCAAAGGTGCTTTTGAATTTTACCTGCCCATGTTGTGTGTTTTTTTTCATGCATTTCATCTTAAAATGACAGCAGCATTAAATGACATAAAGAACACAATAAAGCATGAAAAAAATCCCCCTCACAGCAGTGTTCCACTTTCAGCTATCTTAAAGACACATTTCAAGCTGCAAGTGCTTACAAGAAGCAGTCTACCAAGAAACTGTGAAACTCAATGACCCTGATGAAATTAATCTATTTACAAAAAATTATAGCAAGCAAGCCTATGTTAAATCCATGTGCTAGAAATCTCGATATTTTCCTTGTAGAAAAAAATCTGTAGCTGCTGACATCATAATTAAGACAAATGGGGGCAATAAAAATGCAACAGAATTAGGGCAGGAAAGCAGTTGAAAGGCAGAAAAAAATGGTATTAAAAAGTATTTCCATGATTTTGGTAACAAAATTTAGCTCTGCAATGGAGGGAGAAAGGCAGTGAATTCCTCTCAGTCATAACTAGAAGTTCAATCATCTCCAGCAAATCCCAGCAAGCCTCTCTGTCTCATCTGGAATATTCTGAACAGGGCAAGAGCAATTAACAATGCTCAGATAAAGTAATTTTTCCTTTTTTTTTTTAATTCATTGCAAGGTAGACAATTATCAAAAATAAAAGACTAGCTCAGCTTCTTTTACTAATTCTTTGATCCTTCAGGGTAGTCTTGTCAGTATTATGGGATTTTATTCCGTGTTTTTTTTAAGGTTGTCTTTTTAAGTTATTTTCTCAGTATTCTTCTCTCTCTTCAAACTGTTCTCTGCAAAAGAAATTATCTTGACTCACCTGAGTCTTGGATATGATTGTTGAATTAATGCAGAAGCATCTCAATAGGATGATTTTGATCTTTGGGGTCAACAGGAGAATGGAGGAGGATATTATATTTGGTAGTGGACAGAGGAAAGGGTGACAGTAATATATTTTACTGTCAAATGTAGAAAAGTTGGACCAACTGTTTTGGCATCTTGGAACTTTGTACTTGTTATGTGAGTGGCAGAAGACAGAGAAAAGGAATTTACTTCACAAGATGGAAATGCCCTCAGGAGACCGAAAAAAGCCATGCAGGGGGAGTAATCTACTGCAGTGTCTCTAAAATACCTGCAGTTGGTGTACAGTGAGGAGGCATGGTGACATACTCTCCTCTATTATCTTGCAACCTTTAAACACAAAAGAAAGTTTTCCCTTCATGCTTCCAGCTGTGATGCAGATGCTGCAAGCTCACTCCAATCTTCATACAGCTGAATAACCTAGTTTTATGAAACCATTTACTGTGGACCCAAAAAAAAAAAAATTGTTTGATGGGAGTGCAAAAATTAAAATAGGTCAGATGTTGGATTCACTCAGAACAGAATAATCAGGAAGTTCTGCTGCATGGTTATTTTCTGTGCTTAGAGGTAAGTACTTCTACCAAACTTCTTTCCATTTTGCTCTGTAATTCAGTGACTGATCTTGGCAGACAAATAAACCCTGGAAAGAAAAATATAATATATATTTTTTTGAGGACAGGGACATGAATGCATTGTGCTAAGGGAAATGTTATCAGTAAAATTAATGTTCCTGGAAATATACAAATTGCACCTGTGAATAATATACATTAAAAGTAATAATTAATAATTTCATTGATGTTGTAATAATGTTTCACATAAATGCATGTCACATGAACATTATTGGAAATCCAAAACCCATTTATAATTAGCAACTTCTGTTGTTAATTATAATGATTTTTTTTGCTTTTTGTATACATTTTTAACATTTACTTGTTTCTCTAAGAGTTAAAAACAAACCATTCTCCATAGTGAGTTTCTTGATGTTGAATTTGTAAGCCAGACTGGGTCATTGTAGCTCAGAATTGTTTGCTGATTATCTCTGTTCCTGGATAAAAGTAATTAATTATTTGGAGTGATTGTGCATATAGAGCTGGAGCTTTGTTTCTGTAGGATACCCATAGGAAGCTTTTAATTTTCTTTCCACAAATACTGTGCTGCTATAACACCATGGCTGAAATTTCTAAAAAAAAAAAAAAGAAAGAATAGTGAAAACAAATGCAATTAATATTTTTTTTTATCGTTTTGTAAGCAACAGTTAATTAGTTTTCCATATTGATGAGTACAGCTGATCTCTGCTTTCATCTGTGAGCTTAAGCAGTGTTCCACACTTAGAAAAGATGGCAGATATGGGAGTAAGATGCTTTATAGTACATTTGGTTCACCATCTTCCTGCTCTGGTCTTCAACATTTCCCTCTATAAACTGTATGTTCTTTGGGATGGTCTAGATGAAATGCCTGAGGAGTCTACAACCACATTACTGATGATTAAAAAAACAGCCAACCGGCTAACCAATAAAAACGTTATCATTTTGAAGACGTGGTTTCCACAGTATCCTTTCCTCAGCTTTGTATCTCCTTCCCTTTTTCCTTGATGGACTACCTCTGATTAAATGTCTGGTTACTTTTTTTATGTCCTCTAATCTGTCCATCCTTTTAATTTCCTTGTAATATCTTCTCATAGATTTAAATAGCTCATCAGTTTTAATTAATTTTTAATACATTCATAAAATTCTCATCTGAGAAAGATTAAGTTGTTTTCCATTAAACATACATTGTTTATTGCACCAATCCCTTCAGAATCCATACTGCTGGCAGGTTTTTGGTTTTCACCTCTGTTTTTTCTAGTAAAAATTTATTATTTTAAAGAGTTTTTTTATAAAATTTATCCATGTAATACTTCTCTCTTAATCCTCCTTTTCAGCTCAGGAAATAATCTATGCAGTCTCCTCATTCCTACAACCACTTGTTGTTT